GTTTAATGCACTTAGGACGAGTATTTCACTTTCTGTATTCCGTTTTGAAAATACCACCCCGGCACTGTTGGTGAATTTGTGCATAATTTTCCTAATGTGACAATTGGCTTGCGTCCTCTTTATTCCTTATTTCAAAACATTAGTCTTTCGCCTAAACTAGCTTTTTTGCGTGATAGAAAGTTTGGAGGAATCAGTGAGAAACGGCGGAGTTTGGAGGTTATTGTGGTGTCAAAGGCTGCACTTGCCGAGCCATTGTTTTCCAACAAATGTGGTAAGTAGATATTGCTGTTCTCTTCGGAATGTCAGTTTTGTAATGTCCAAATAACTTTGCGTAAATTCAGTGAGTGAGGTAAATCCTTGCTCCCAAGAGTCCGGCCACTATTTTCAACGCGACATTCAATCCTTGCGTAAGCCTCCCTTCGACAGATACATGTTTGGCGCCGTGTTAAAGTTTGCTGATATTGCTTTTTTTTGTGTCGTGGCATGTTTTTTTTTTTTCTTTTGTATTTCACTTTGGGGAAGTTAAAATTGTCAGGTCTCTTTCAGTTTAATTTCAAAAAAAAGCGAATGCTTTACGCAGCTGTGAAGAGTGGAAATTCACTGACCACATGAAAGTGCACACTGCTAAAGCAGCTGTCCAAAGAACAACTAAGGTAGCAACTTATTAAAGCGATTCCTTAAAGAAATGCCGCGCCTGCGGACTGTTTCATGTGTGAATCCTGCATTTGATACTTAAGTTTGCAATGAATGTAGGGGTTTGCTTTCAGAAAACTATATAAATTTATTGCTCCTTGTATTGATGCTACTTTTCAGTGTTTGATTATTCAGACTGGTTCGCCACAGTAAAATCCGTTAAAGTTTTCAAATATTTGAGTGCATCTTAAACATTATTTCATCGGAGTTCGCTAACTGGCACGCTTTCCTTATCTGTCGAAAAGATGGAAATGATCTGGCTGTTCTGGTTCCCCGGAATATGAGGACCAAGCGTCCTTAGGAACTGAATTTGAAATCTTTAGTTGCTCTTGGGCAAGGAATAT